CAAAAGCGCTTTCCTCTAAGCCTAATGACTATCCGGAAGAAGGGATTAAGTCCTTTCAAAGACATAACATTAAAATATCCGGATGGTTTTCAATCGTCTGTGGCAAGCAATGGCTGGTTTGTTACATTTAGGAACCGTACTGGTTTTCATAACGTTGAAGTGTCTTGAGTAGCTGATACTGGCAACACCAAAGTACCTGAGAAACACTCAGAATGGTACTGATGACGATCTTTACTTGCAGAAGAAAATATTTACCGCAGACGAAATAGATCGTTTTTAGTAAAATGCCATGTTGCACATACTTCTGAAGAGGAAAAATCAAGGCCAGGATGCAAAGCTTCAACAGATGCACTAACCCTTTTTCCTGGTGGTAACATTTCTGATTGCTGTAGACTTATGCCGGTGCTGGTCTGTCGTTCGGAAGACTTGCGGTCTTTGAAAGGCATCAGTAAAACAACTCTTGCCGCATATGATAGCTTAATCCCAAATTAATGAGTTACCATGTTTGTTTTTAAGAACTGATTTGTTAACTGCTTTACGTCTTCAGTGCAGAAACTTTAGTGGTTTGCAGAACGTAACTTTAACGTACGCGGATCTGCATGTAATGCTCAAAACTTTTTATTAAATTCGAGTGTAGGTGCTTGTTTACGATTTTCTTTCTTATCACCTCCATCTTACCAGATTATCAGCAAGTTGCTTTGCATGTGATGAATTCTTGGAAACTGGCTTCTTGTATAATTTTAGCTAGGAAACACAATGTTTTACTTTTCTCTGAAATTGCATATTTGGCGGATGCGTTGCACGTCCCCATTGTGCAAGACGCGACCTTAGCGAAGTTAGAAGGAAACCAGATATAACCTGACAATTTCTATCACCAATGAACGCATATGAACAGATTTCTGCACAACAGGTACAAAGACACAATTCTAGTAGCAGTTTTTGAATAGAACGACCAGCATATTGTTCTGACTGGCTGCATCGAAAACTGTCATTTATGGTATCGTCTCATAACATTTAAGAAATTAGTGGTGCATATATATTCTAGCAGATTGTGGCATCTCTTAGCCATTGCTCGAATCAGCTCGCGTATTAGTTCAACCCACCACTACGAGACACTATAATGATTAATCATGTTGTGCATATCATAACTTATACATACGCGTTATGATACATGTCGCCGATGACTATTCTCTATAACTGTTTGCTTGCTTTAGATGGAAAATTTTTACAAGGAAAATCCTTCCTTACAAACAGGTGCTACGGCGTTTAGACAGCAGCTGGAATACGCCAAAGACAGCGCAAACTGGATGGCAGAACATTTCTCGTCCGTTGCGAGGTGGTTAAAGGAAAAGACCACCTGAAACTGTTTGCAATGTTTTTATCGAGCCCGATTATGCGTAGTTGTTTTTATACGACGTTGTGAAAATGTTTTAGCCAAAATAAAGTTCATTGTTTTCCTGCTTTGTTCGCACGTCCTTCACTGGATGCTACATGGTCATTGGCCGAAAACAAATGTTGCTCTGAACAAGCAGCAGGAGGCAAGACATTTGACTTACTGAAAGCATGCTGAACGATTTTTAGCATCGATTCAGGTTTGATTTCTTCCTGTTTAGACGTCAGGGCATCCTACGTCGCGCCGTCCGTCGTTACACAATTTTTGCCTCCTCATGGATGCGCTGTCGCAAAGATTTTGTCGTCACCCTTTAAACGTATTCAATACCTTTTAGTGAATCTCAACTCAAGAGTCAAGCTTCATGGTACCATCTCCTTGAAACATATGTATGTATGTATGTATGTATGTATGTATGTATGTATCTAACGAGAGAACGCAAAACACAGCCGTTTCATAAATGAATG